GATAGACATTTTCAAATTAAATTCTACCAGTCTCTGGCCATTAGGGTCTGTTTTAGAAAAAATTAATCCTTTCCTTAGATGGTTTCTCATTTTCTTAGGGAATTTCCAGTAATTTAAAGCATCTGTCTACACTTACCATTCTTTAGCCAACAAGTGCATATAGCTTAACAGTCCATAATATCTGTTCTTGGAGTTAAATAATATTAGACAGAAGCATTGCTAGAAAGATTGGACTAACTGAATTCTTATTAATAATGCAGAAATAGCAAGCAAAAGCAACAATAATTATTGAAATCATGTCTAATCTTATGGCAAACCATTAATTAACACCAGATTGCCAAGTCACAGCCAGGATGTTATTGTTCAAGAGTCTATTGTTTTCAATTATAAACTAATTTTATCTTCCAAAAGCTCTTATTGTCGAATTACCTGAGCAGCTTTCCCCAATAAAACTCAAAAGTGGGCTTTTTGTTAGACTTTCTATTCTTGTCATTTCTTTAAAAGAATTTATAACTTGAGTGTAAATCCTAACTGCTACCAAAGATAAAAGAACGATCAAAATAACTATCCAAGGAACTACAATTGCTGAAACAGTCATAATGCTAAGGGAATTGAAGAGTAAGACAAAAAATGGGCCAATCTGCCAAGAAAGTTACAACTCAATTACTTAAAGATCTCTTGAAAATTTATTCAATATTCTACCAATTGGAGTCACATCGAAATAGAGGTTAATAGGGGCATTTAAAACTGTTTTGATCATGTCTTTATGAATTTTTTTAGAAGCAAGCCAAGATCTATATTAAAGTGTAGAAACTCTAAGAAATTCAAATGCTGACTATAAGAAGGCATACATGAAAGTTAACCCACAATAATAAGAGAATTCCGACTTCTGCTTGGTTGATGAAGCCCAATTGCCAATTTGTAAATCAGCAAGTATTCTCGCCACAGTGAATATTACGAATATGAATAATAACAATACAACTATCTTCCAGCCTCCTAAGTAATTGACATATTTACGATAAACTCCAGAGCCGACTTTTGTCTCTTCGATGTTTTCATCTGAAATTATTTTGCCTTTTTATTCATCAGTAAGAGTTGTGAATGAGAAAGTTCTATATTACTTATTCTTTCTTTTTTTCTTTTGACCCTCCTTTAATTCTTCATTTTCATTTTCACTTCCACTTTCAATATCTTAGACAGAGTCACTTTAACTATCAATACTTTCTGAGTCACTATCTTGGGATGAAAATGAAGTTCTGCCATCTGACTAATTTTTATTGTAAGGATTCTCATATTTCACTTCCTCATTGATAGCATGTGATTATGCTCCATCAGCTATATTTTGTGCATCTTATTTATGACTTTGATGAATATCCATAATCTAAATGAGATAAGGGTTTTACTTAATCTAACTATAATTCCCATCTAAAACAATTTCTCCCTTAGACAGTACAATAACTCTGTCTACAAGATGAATGAAATCAATTGCATGAGTAACTAATAATCTAGTCTTGTTTTTGAACTTTTCCATAAAGACTTTTTTGAATATTTTCTTTTTGACATTTGCATCTAAAGCAGAGATAGGATCATCCATCAGCATGATTGCTCTGTCAGAATAGACAGCTCTTGCTAAGCTAACTCTTGCTTTTTGACCACCACTTAGATTAATACCTTTTTCACCGATTTCAGTCTGATCACCTGATGGTAAAATTTCTAAGTCTCGGCTGAGTTAACAAATATCTATAGTTTCTTGATATTTATCCTCATCATATTCTTGTCCAAAAAGAATATTTTCTCTGATGGTTTTATTTTAAATCCATGGATTCTACTAAACATAAGCTACATTTTCTGATAGGATGATAGGAGGCTCCTTATTGACAATTAGTTTCGAGGAATCTTACTTAATAGTCTCTATTATTCTCTCATTTAATGGCTCATCTTTAAAGACCATCATAAATTGAGGATCAAGGTAAAGCAAATCTCCAATTATTGCACTCAAAAGTGTACTTTTACCAGAACCCACATCTCCTATGATACAGGTAAATTCTCCATGTCTGAATTCAATATTCAAATTTTTAATTGCTAGAAATTAGCTTGTTGTTCTTTTATCATCTAGTTCATTTAAAAGCTATTAATTGTCTTCTTATTTTTACTCATTTGCTTTATTCTCTATTCCCTTTTTTCCCTTTTTCCCTTTGTGCTATTTCTTTTACAATTCTTCCTTCTCCTTTTTATTCAAAATACCCCAATGGAAATTTCCTTCCTAAATCTTAATTGAATTTTTGTCTTCCTCTTCGAACTTTATTAATGGTTAAATTCATTTTTAATAGTACATCTAGTTTTTTAATTAAGGTCTTGTTAACTTCTTAGCAAAGTAAAAATTCTTAGATTCTTTTCATTGCAACTTTGAACTCTATCAAAATGTTGATAAACACAGGAAGCCAAAGTAGTGGTTACTAGGAATAACATTAATTTTGATTATTTAATCTTACCTTTATCAAATTAAATATAGTATTAACTGTGTAAGCGACACTAAGGTCAAGAGTATTCCCACTACCGATATAAGTTGAAAATACAGCAGCACCTAATATTGATGGAAAGAAGTATAAAGATGTAGAGTTAATACAACTGACTGTAAATCTTTTCCATAGAACAGCCAACTCTTCAGATCTTTTCTACTCAATCATCTTTTCAAAAGCTTCTTACCAAGAATAGAGCTTAAGCATTTTGATGTTATTTAAACATTCTGTTGTTAGGTTTACTCTTTGATCCTATAGCTTCATGTAAGCAGTTTGATATCTGGTCGAGAACTTGGTAACGAAAAGATTTACACAAAATGCAGCTACCATTACAGCTATTCCCGCAAAGAATGACGAACCCATAAAGTGAAACAGTAAGATTATGCAGGCTATCAATAAAACAGGCAATTTTAGTAAAGTAGCTAGATTTTCAGATATGATGTTTAGTTTCTATGCGTCAACCTAGATAAAATTAACAATCTCTCCATTTGAAAAACTTTTGTTTGTAGCGCTTGAAACTTTCAAAGTTTTATTGTAAATCAATGCAATCATTG